AAGTCAAAGAATCTTTCACTGATCACCAATCGTAGGTAGGGACTCATGTATTTCTTGCTGAAATGTGGAATTTTGCTGAACACTTCAGGCATCCCTTGTTGCATCCTGCTCTTGGTAGTAGTTTTATATCTTCTTTTCCATCCTGTCTTCTCCCTGTTTTGCATTATTGCTTGCTGATATGCTGTATTGCTTTTTAAATGTATATAAAATTTCTAACCTTCTGAATTATCTCTCTTTATTGATTTATCCTTATGGTTATTTCAGCTATAGTAGAGTGTTAGAAATTGTATTAAATGATGCTTAAAGGTGCATATGATGTTTAGTACATAAACTAAAATACAATTAGTTTAAATGTGGTTACCCTCTCAAGAGTGAAGTAGTGATAACTAATTATTAAAATCAAATGGCTGACTCAATTTTAAACAAGAATTGTGTCAGAAAATACTTTTGATAAATTTGTCATTTATCTACTTATTCCAATTTATATATTATAAACTGGGTGTTCAATCCGAGGAAGTTAACTAATATCAGCTAAACACTGTGCACGTTGTCACTGGATTTATTTCAGACTAAACGTAACACTTCCTCTAAGAGCCAAAGTAAACTGGCTCCTAAAACCTACTCAGTAGAGTAACATCTGAAGGTATAAGGAGGTAGCTGCCTACAACTACAGATTGTCATTAATTTTGGGACAATTTGGGGTCTTGTGCTGAATTAATAAAATGAAAGAGAGGAGGTCTATAGGTTCATGGTAGTCAATTACTGAGTGAATATTTCTGAAGCAGTGTTTGAAGCTTTGATAGGTTTCAAATATGCCACCTTTAGTGTGAGAGGTTAAGCTGTGTTCCTCTGGGTTTAGCAAATTGTGGCTTTCAAACAACTTGGAACAACTATGCCATGAAGAAATGGCTAAACATTACACCTGAAAGGATACACACGCTGTTCAGAGGGCTAGAGGAGGTTGTTATTTCTGTTGAAGAAGGAAAACTTGTACTAGCCAAATGTGCATTAAATGTTATGTTGATGTTTTACTTTTTGCTATTTCAAAGTAAGGGGATGCCAACTTTTGCACTATGCTGTACTTATACATTTTGCCTGGAGCCAAAGCAATGAAACGTTTCCAATGCTACACCATGTTTTCTAACATTCTTTACTTGAGTTTATCTGATTCCCATCTCTGTTCCTTCTACTTTGTTCCTTTTGTTCTCTTTTAGATGTAAAAGCATTTTTAAAAGTCTTAATATTCTCTCGTATCTGAATGAAAACAGAAATAAGACATTCAAACAAAACTAAAAATTTCATTTACTCTTCCATTAAAATTGTGGTCTCTTGTAGATAATAACTTCTTAAAATTCACTTAGTCGGCAAAGATTTTCTGGATGTAAACTGACGAATGTTTTCACTGGGTTTAACCCTCACTGTGTCTATAGTTAAATTCTCTGTCTCTCTGTGTTCTTTTAGTCTTCTTCTTAACCTGATCCTTTTACTTGCTAATAATAGCCCTGGCTTTAACAGAACATGCAGCAAAACAGAGAAGAAGGGGAGAACTGGGAGGGTGTGTTGGCTGGAGCCACATTAGATTTTGTGCAAAATGCAGTTCGGTGGGACCTAGGACTCATTTTAACCCATTGATTTATAGCAATACCTCTGCTAGGGTACCCTTTTAATTCTATCTTTGTTTGTAGGTTTGTGCAAGGTGATTTTTTTTATACTTCAAAGTTTGTGCACCTTTGGAATGAAATGAAAGACATGATGTGCAACATCAGTCATGTTAAACAAAAGTAAAAAAGAGACATCATTCCTAAAAGTACATTGGTGCTGAATTGACAGACTTAGAAAAACAGACAAATGAGTAAATGCAATCCCAGCTTTTGGCTAGTGGTTGCTGTGACTCCCTCCTTTTTTTCTGTAATCCTTTAGCCCTGCAATAAACTCAATGCAGTGAAGACATCTGTTTACAAAGTGCATTATGTAGTATATGAGCAGTCACTGTTACGGAGTCTGCTTATAATAATTCATTTATTTATTTTAATTCATCTAGTTTTTAAGGTATTTGCTGGAAAAATGGAAACAAAAACAATCTGGTGTTTGTCACCACACACATTAAGAGTTTCATTTGCATTGCTCATTGAAGGCTGTTCCATGAGTAAAATGGTACACCATAGTTTCTGAAAAAATATGGGCATAGACCAACTCACTGGACATAAAGAAAAGTTTCCATTTAACTAACATCTGTGAGTTTGTAGTTCTGACCGCAATCCCAATATTTTGATGGCAAATCTCTTGTCAGTGGCATTTGCATCCCTGGAGGAGTCAAGATGTATAGCCTTGGTTTTATGATATTAGGCTTTGGCTGCCCACTGAAGTGGAAATCCACCCATGCTGTGATGCTACTGTGCTATAATTGAATATTATTAAAAAGTAATGATACATATGGAGTTTAGATATCTACAATGTCACTGCAGAATTGAGGTGCTGTTATGGGGGCGTTGAAAAGTCATGCTGAGGGTGTAATTATCTCAGACTCGTCTCTCACGTCACATTCCATTCACATCCCTTCTATTTTAATCCTTCTTTCTGAAGTAGCTACTGTATACTGAGCCCTTCCTTTAATTCTCTTTAGGTATTTCTATATTTCTTAATTCTCCATATAAACAATTTTAGCCTGGCCTGCTGACAATGTCAAGTTCCCTATCTGGGAGTGCACACAGATCTGTAGGATTTGATTTTTGTTGATTTGCCTTGTTTGGTGTTACTTATTTATTTTTGTTTTTAAGGCTTTTAATGGTTTGGCACCATTTTACCTCACTGCACTGGCACAAACCTACAAGGTCCCTCAGATCTTCAAGCCAGTTTCTTTTAGAGGTTCCTAGGGTCTGATGCATTGCTTATAACTCTTTTTATTTACATTTTAATTTATTGAACCTATGTTGTGTATTATTGTGTTTTATTTTTATTTGCACTGATCTTATTTACTTTATTTTAGTCATTTATTGTGATTTTATTTTGCCATGTAAAGTACTTTGGTCAGCTGGATGTTGTTTTAAAGTGCTATATAAATAAATTTGATTTGATTTGCTTTGATTATTTCTTGTTTAGCGATGCTATTATTTGTGTGTTTTTAGCTGTTGTGAAATCCCATTGTGTCATCTGGAGAGTTCAAAAACTGCTGAACTGGAAAAGTAAAAGCTGGTGTCAAGGTCTGGAAGAAGGAGAAAGTGGGAGGAAATTGTATGTCTCTGTGGAGGTGCAGAGCGCATAAGGGGGGAGAGAGACAAAATGAGCAGGGGGAAGAGAGACTAGAGAGTCAGAGAGAACAAGCAGAGAGAAATGTATGAACTTGTGATGATGGTAGCATGTTCTACAGTGATACTGCATTGCAATATCAGAAGATCTCCCCCACCTTCAGATTCTCCCTATACATATCTTTGTATGTCTTTGTCTCTGTCTCTTTCTCTCTCCTCCAGTCAAACAGGCAGGCAGACAGAGTTTCTGGAAATAAATAAATAGCCTTTCAGCCACTGATGCCTCAGGAGAAACTGAGATAGGCTGCCCTGATTCTACATTAAAAAAAGCAGCAACAAAATTGAAAACAAGTCAAATGTCCTCTAACTGTGATGCTGAGGTCATCTTTGGTAGAAAATGTAGGAAGAAAATGATTTTTTACTGATCTGGAATGTTGTAGGATGAAGAGAAATACAGAGAAAATAGAGCTGAAAAGCTTATTTAGCCTATGCAGTTCTTTTTTTTTCAGATTGCAAAATACACAAAGTGAATTGTGGCCAAAACAGGATTACCAAGCAACTGATTGCTGTGATTACAACAGGATTTAGTCGACAAGGGCGTGACAGGTGTTTTTCCTCTCATCTATAAACACAGTTTATACCCTTTCTGGCTTTAATGGTCTTGCTGTAGTTAATGTGTTGGGATGAGTTGACTGCTGCTGCACTGATCATCACTTCTAAGCCCAGAGTAGACAACTATTTTCTCCTTGGCTGTCAACAGTGCTTCCAAATACATTTACAATAATATAAAATCATTCAGTTTTTTTATTTAGAAAGACAAAATCATACAGTGACAGGCAACATATAATATGAGGTTTAAAGTCAGTTAAACAGTCTTGTACCATTAGTGCAATAATGAGGGATTGTTTCACTTGCCAGGTAAGTTGCACTTTAAGGGGGTGGTTAGATGAACGATTATACTTAGAGTTGTAGTTTGTTTTTAACTTGGGTCATGTCCCATCCGCTAACATGGAGAAGGTGGGCTTTTAAAACTTGTTCTCCAATCAGCCACCAGGGGGGATTGACCTGTAGTGACTTCACTTCTGCAGAGCGGTCTTGTCGTCTCTTTATATACCATGTACGGTTCCACCCATTTTTCTGTTAAATTCAACTTCTTGCATTCAGTGCTCAAAAGTCCAGTTTCTGGAATCAACCTGTTTTATTTTATTGTTACTGTTCTATTATACTGTCCTCTATCCTCAAGTATTTTTTTTTTTTACAGCTTTTTTTATTTGACACTAGATCACTTCATCAGGAGCGTGACCTGGTTGTGGTAACAGCCGTTTTACAGTGCAGCAGATCTGGCTGATGTGCGTGGCAGCCTAAGTTACCATGAAGTAGAGCTAGTGTGGTTTTGCATGTGTATCCGTGTGAGTGTGTGTAGCAGACACTGTGAGAAGCGTGTAATAGGCTCACCTGTCCCTGGCTGCAGACTGATGGGCAGGTGTAGAGAATGGAAACCAGATGGAAAGAAGGAGCAATGGAGGAAGGGGGAAAGTGAAGTGAAAGCATTCAACTTCTTATGGGGTGGATGCATATAGATTTAGACTTTTCACATGCTGTATTGTTTAAGTACTGCCAAATTAAATAATCATAATTAATTTTTTTAAGGAGATACAAAGGGAGCAGAAGGTATTCCCAGATCAGATGTTCAAAATTTAAAATCATTCACATTGCCTCTTGGTGTAGTGACTAACTCTAGGTTGTTTTTGTCAGGGTGAAGAGGAGGAACGAGACGTTTAGTCCTGTCCAAGGTACGTTCATACCGTAAATGTTACCATACCATTGGTCAGATTTATTTTCCTACTTGAATTTAGACTTTACATCGTGTTTTTGTCATTTGTGCTGAGTAAGTTTTACGAGCCTGGGGTCTATGGAACTCGTTTCATTTTCCTTATTAATAGACAAAACTGTTTCTCTCAATGTTTATTATCGTGCTCATCCATGTCACCAGTGAATCTGCATCATTGTGTTCTACTAACAACTGAAATTTCCCTCACACCACTTTGAAGATGATAGTTTCAGTACTAAACACCCTGTATGAGACCAAATCAACAACAGGAGACACATGCGTGAAAAGAAGCAGAAATACTGTGAACCTGTTCAGCATATGTGAGGTAAAAGGCAGCTTGTACATGAGCATAAAGCTTTGGTGCCTTAAAACAGTTGTTGTTTGATTCTAAGAATATTGTTGGAAAATTCACGAGTTGTGATCCAGGCAGCTGCCCTGACCCCATGTTGTGAACCTCTGACCTGTCTATACGGTGGTCTCTGCTTCACTGCAGTAGCTAAGGCTGTATCTCCTTGCTGTGGTGACATGTGTGTGTCAGCAGAAGGATATGTGATGTGTGTGCGGTGGTGGCGGGCGATGAAAGGACTCCATGGGATGGATAGAGTTCCTCTGTCCAAAAATGCCAGTGCCTTTCACACACACACACACACATTTACGGTTAGATACAGAGAGTTCAGAAATGTGGGCGTGCAGATGTTACACACTGTCACATGTGCACACGCAGACATGCACAAACACACACTCGTACTGTGCATAAATACGCAGACAGGGAGGACACACAAGTAGACATATATCTAGATTCCATTCAGGCCACTGGCAAGCATTCGTACTGACAGCTCAGAAATATAAGCCTACATACAGGGAGTTCAACCTAGTCGCAGTGCTTTGAACAATAATGGTATGTGTACGCACTTTATTATTGCCACTCATTTCAAGGTAAAAAGAAAAGTTTTCCCTCAATTTGACAGTTTTTTTTTATTTTCATGCTCGAGTGACAGGTGATATTTGCATACAGAATGAGCTAAAGCTAATTGTTGCTCACTCAGCAGCTGCAGCAGAGAAACTGTGGGTTAAGGATCTTGCTCAAGGGAAGCTTGACTGCAGTCGATGAGGGAGGGGAGAGCGTTACTCATTTGCTCTCCCCAGCCAGATTTTCCCCACGGTCTGGGGATTTGAACTGAGGGCACAAACCGACACAAGCTGTAGGCTACTGCTGACAACCAGGTGTAATGCAATGTAATTACTCCATGATTCTGTGTTTGCCGTAACTATAATTGAGTTCAAGTTCAAGAATTTATTCTGCCCACTGGGACGTGTGGCTTGCAGCAAGGCATATGTCATGTTGCATAATCATGATAAACAACAGAGATTCAGAAACACGAGACATTAAATGAATTGGAAAGAAGGATGGCCCAGGGGACAGAGGCTCAGGAAAGCAGGTCTGTGTGACTCTTACAGGTAAGTCTGTCAATGGCACTGGCAATAAATTATTAATAAAGTCATAATTGCACCTTACCCATTATTCTAGCATCTGCTATGAATCTGTTACTGGTATTGTCTTTAATTATTATATAATATTCTCACGCATAAAAACTGAATTTTTCTGCACTGGTGGAGAGACAGTTGGTTTGGATAGAACATCCATCCATCTATTATCTCTACTGCTTATTGTGAAGAGGGTCACAGGGGGGCTGGAACCCATGTAGGCACAGGGAGAAGATGCAAACTCTGCACAGAAAAGCAACGGGTTGCCTGGGGCTCGAACCTGGAACCTTCTTGCTGTGAGGTGACAGCACTAACCATAGCCATCCATAACAGCGTCACCATGCTGCTACGTATAGCTCTGTTAGGCCTTTTTAACTGTAGGACCACAACATATATCCATTATCTCAGGTTCTGCTTTTGTTTCCATTGGCCTCCACCTGCTTTGGAGGCGAGTTCCAAGAGCTCAATTTCGGCAAACCTCTGGAGGTAGTACTAAATCAAGGTCTAGGAATGTGGGGCTTTTGCCCTTGACCGGTTAAACGACAGTCACTGGTTTAGAGGTAAATGTGAACTTCAGCGAGCTGACTGGGGACAGAGCAGCAAAGACAACATTTTGTGGAACAGTTTGTGTTCTGCTTGTTCAGCAGTCTGACAAACTGCTCATACATTCTCCACATGTGATTAAGGACAATTGCACTCTCTGCTCAGCTGTTTGTGCATGAGGAGCGCAGCCTGCCCTCATGTAAAGAGGGACCAAAATAAGACTTGGAATTTTTCATATTTTTTCCAGCTGCATGTTTTTCCAAATGCATGCGCTGATATTTTGTACTTAACCACTATGCTCAGTGGTTTTGCAAATCTGACCAAATGAAACACCTACATGCACCTCCTGCCTCTGATTGTCTTTTTTGTAGGGTTGTAAGTAATGTGAGAGTGTGTTTTGATTCCTCTGGGTCGCCTTTTGGCCAAAATCACCTTTACACACACAGTCTTCTTCACTATTTAGTTCTCTGCATCATTCACAGTACACACACAGACGATTGACTTTGAAATTTGAATTTGACTTTTGTAAAATATGACACCTTTTCTTTTTATGTCTGTACATGCTGTATTTGCTTCATTACGACATTTTAGCAGATGGTTTTTTTATTTATCCATTGTGTCTGTGTGTGTCTGCAAGTCTGTATGCACACAACTCTGTCTCCTTGAAATTACATTTATATCCAACTAAACTACAACATCATGTTCTCTCTGTAGGAAATGTAATTGTGACAGTATATTTTCTGTTGTGAATAATGAGGTTATGTTGATAATTTACATATTTGCCAAGTTGCAAATATGTTGATACTGGATGTATCAGTCAAATGTTCACAGACAGTGGTTATGTTTAGACATTCATAACACTTGGGAGCAATTACGTATGAAATACACTGTATAATACAGCAGCACCAGTGTTGTCCTGACTGTGCAGACTAGGCATAATTTCATATTCTCTCTTGCTGTCTTGCATGATTCCAGGCTTTGTTGACAGTCCAGATGTAGTCTCTGCACATTGCCAAGGCAATATTAAGACCCAGTAGCAGTTGTCATGTCTGTGACCTAGAACTGCTGACAAGGGAGTGATAAGCCAAGGAGCTGTGTTAAACCAGTGCCTCCTGACCATGCTGACAAGACGTTATTTTCGAGAGAGCAGTGTGTCTGTACCTGTAAGACTGCACTGTTGACAAGCCAGTGTACTGTGGTTGTAAGCACTGTTGACTGTGGAATGTTAAGGCAAGGCACAGAATTAAAGGTACCTGTATCGACTATGCATGTTGACAAGCACTGCACTAGCCTGCCTGGCCTTGTGCTGCTGACAAAACACTAGAAGCTCAGTGACAAGCTGCTTGCTATTTCAAACCCATGTTAGCATGGTTAGGGTCACATGACATCTGCAGTCTGGGGAAACTTGAGCCTATCATTCTAACAAGCATTGTGAGTGTGTGCATGTGTGCCCATTGATAAGGATTAGCAAAGACTCCCTGGGATGTCCCTGGGTGCTGCTTGGAGGTCAGTGCATGTGCACTCCAAAGATGTGCGCTCCAAAGTCTGCAAGTGTGTGTGTGTGTGTGTGTGTGTGTGTGTGTGTGTGTGTGTGTGTTTGCTGGTTGGTGGAGGGGGTTAGGCCTGACAATGGAGAGGAATTTAAATGAGAGAAAAAAGGGGTTTAGGGATGTTTGCAAGGAGGATGGAAGAGGTTTTGGCACCATTGTTGTTCTTCCTTTTTGTCATTCTGTCTCTCTATCTCTCCATTACAAATCCCCCAGTCTCTACCTCTCTTACCTCTCTCAATCTTGACTGCTGCATTTCTCACAAAAAACCACTGTTTGCCTCTCTTGATTTTATCACACCTTATCCCTATCTTTGTTTTTCCTCAGTGTGTGTCTTTCACCATTGTTAATGAATCATCTATTACCTTTGCAAAGCAAGGTTATGTTATTACTGCTGTTTGTTGGTTTGTTTGTTTGTTGTTCATAGCATACAGTAACTCAAAAGTTATGAATGGATTTTGGTAAATTTTTTTGGAGAGGTAGGGTATGGCCTGCGGATCATCATCTCAATCCACACATTTTTTTATTGGCATTTTGGGGAAACTGAGCTGCTTTGGCAGAGGTTTGCGCTCTCAGAGTGCTGTCTAGTTCTGAAATGTTTTACTCTCAACAAACCTGAAGAATTTTTACAAAGCATTCTTTGTTTTCTTACGATCTCCTATGTATATGTGGGGGCTACATAGCAAAAACATCTACATCACCAAGGCACAGTGACTGTGCTCAGCATCCTAATGTCTTGTTATCACACTGGGCAGCCTGGTTGATATGTTAGTATCTGCATGGTGTAAAAAAAGCAAAACCTGTGCTGACCACCAAATCTAATCTGAGTGAACTTGTGCTAAAATCAGAAAATGAGGTTTTTACATTTGAAGTTGTTGTTGCTATCTTTCATGCGGTGTCACTTGGCTCTTTCTTCAGTACTCTCTTTTGTTTTTCACTCTTCCCGTGACTCGACATTTCTCTGTGTCACTCGTTGTGTCTCTCAGGCACCCCCTCCATGTCTTGTGTTATTACCCCGGCAGTGTGTGGTCAAAGGTTGTCAGGTTGCTAATATAACAAAACAGGCTCTCAAAACAGGCTAATTCATTTTAATCTCTCTCTCTTTCTCTCTCTCTCAATCTTTCTTTCTTCATCTATTACACACACACACACACACACACACACACACATGCATACTTACTTTCTCTCACCATCTCCGTTTGTCTGTCCCCCACCCCTTTGCTCTGTTGTGGCTCTAATTGCAATCAATTAGGAAACTTCAGAAGGCTGAAATGGGAGCTGTGACAAGGGGCATCCGCTGAGCTGGCAGAGAGAGGGTTGGAGGGAGACAGAGAAACAGAGAGAGAAGGAGAGAGCGTTGGAGGGGGAGAGAGAAAATGGTGACACA